ATTTTGAAATAATATAAAGTGAAATTTATCACTCAGAATTCCACTCATCATTCTAATTTCTTCTTTTATGATCATTCTAGTCTTTTTTTACAATTTTGTTCAGAAATAAATGGTTTTTTCTTTCCAGCTTATCCATAAAATCTTCCAATATGTAAAGTACACCTTTACAATACTAGAAGATATTGAAATTAATAAAAACTTACTAAATTTTCTGTCATTTCCTCTAGTGATTGTTGCTAATCTTCCTTAACTAATTTTACAAGACTTCTAATTTCTCTTTCTATGAGTTTTGATAACCTTCCTAAACATGGAGTATTTGTAACATTTTCTGAATTTTTATATTTTGTTATAGTATCATGAATAGTGATTTAGAATGTTCAAGAATTTCTTCAATATTTCATTCAATATAATCTTCTTTCCAGAGATCTATAATCTCTTCTCATTCAAACTCAGTAAGTTCATGCCTTTTGAACATTGTAAAAGAAAAAAATTTTTTATTTTCAGGTAGCTGAAGTCAAGAGCTGCATGGAAAAAAAATTTTAATTATTTATGCTTAATAGTTTTGGCGAAATCTTATTTTAAAAAGTAATGATCTGTAATCTTTAAATCAGATGGTCGGAGACTTTTGACCGGGGAGTGTACATGTACATGTATATAGTCACGTGTAATAAATGATTATTATTACATGTATGTACATGTACATGATAACGATTGTAAAGGGTGAAATTTGTACTTATCTACTCTTACTCTTTTGGGTATGTAATATTATAAGGTATTGGATATATGACCTTTTGGTTTTTGGGCATTTGGGATTTTGGGCATTCGAAATATTGGACGGCATCCGTTGATTACATGTACATGTATTTGCTTTTATTGTTCTAACCAAAAACTTTGAAGCAGGCATGGTTAAAGGCTCAATTTATTAAAGATACTTCCGGTATTGAGATTAATGAACAAGGAGATGATCTATAAAGCAACCGTATGGAGTGAGCATAAGTTTATGCAAGTTGTTCGTCTTGGCATACAGTTCCCATCAACATCATTGACGAAGTCATTGATCAAGCTCTGATTATGAAAAACAAGTTATTAAACATGAGAGACTTGCAAGCACATTTTCTCTCATTCCAGTTAATAAAGATGCTTTGCAATACATTCAACATTAGCGTGCAGAATTTTTCTAATACTATTTGTGACCCTTTTATAAAGTCACATCTGATGATAAACTCATCCATTGTCATCAACAGTGAACGTTTGCCTAGGTTTACGAAATGCAAAGACAAATTCACGAAACTCAAGCGGACAGCTCTATTCGTGCAATTAATTGATCCTAATGTTCGGACATAATTCACATGGCGAGCATGATATTGAATATATTGTTAGATTTTTCGCTCGCGAATTCGATGCTAGGTCATTTCTCCATTAAGGTATCTGATATAGTGAATCGTAAGACAAGAAAAATCAGATAAAAGACAGTTAGAAAGATGCTGTCCTTAGCTCATTATCAATTTCATTAACTTCTTATCGCTAAGACTGAAGTATTGAAAGTTCAAGTTGTTATTCAAATTCAGGTTTATACGCCTAAAACTTGTAGTTAATTGGAATATTCAGAAACTTGGAGGATCAGAGGTGCAGTTGCCAGAAATGTAGGGATGTAATGTAATGAATAGAAATGACGAGGACTTGTTGGGAGCCGCTATTCTCTTCTGAAACATCATGTAGGAAATACAAATTAATAGAGAAAAAATTCGATTCCGAGAGTTCATATACAACGTTGCATTATGTTTACGCACTTACATATCATATACATGTATTTAATTTCGGTGTTTTATCATTCCGTCCGACGTTTTGACCCAGTTCGATTCAGACTTGTAAGCTCTAAATTTATTGAAAAATAGATTCATAGTTCTCAAAAATGTTCTGCTGCCATTCTTTCCAATATTAACTTAGGTCTTAAACTGTGATCAAATATAGAACTTTATATCGAGACATGCTAGTGAAAGAAAATATTCTGAATAATAAAAATCATCTAAATTTTCGTATTTGAAGAAATGACGCGTTGTGAGTGATTTCTCCTATCTATAAGTTAACATAATAATGTCAATAAACACTATTTTATAAATGGTGAGATCATTAAAATAATATAGTTTGGTCTCGCAGAATTCGCAACTTTCCAAATTCATTTAGTCCTTTCTTTTGATACCTTAATCCTTTAATTTAAAAAATTATTACAAATTCAAAGAATTTAAGCATTCTTTCGTAAACGCAAAAAGTTACCCAAATTCATAAAATGCTTAGAACTAAAAGTTGCGGTGATTTCTTGCATTCAAAACTTTTTTCCTTAGCGATTAATTTAATTAATCACTATGCTTAAAGCAGAACTGCATCTAAAACGCATATACACACAAGAACGCCTGCTGTAATGTCATTTTTAACTCGTCCCAAACTATTGAAGGTTGTTCCAATAAGATTGGATTTATGACTTTATTTGGGTAAAAACTTCCATTTTTAAATTATGCCACTGAAGGTGATGTTCGTTTCGTGCTGTCTTCATTTTATTAAATAATATCCGACAAGCTTTTTTTCATATGTATTGGCATGGTTAGAGAACGATTTTGTAACACAAGGAGATGTATTTGACTGACGTCTGCTTCTGTAAACGTCATCACCTAAATATTTTGATTCTTTAGCGATTGAAACTCATTTATGCTCGCTCAAATTAAAATGGTAATATTTTCCTGAAATTGTGTTATAGTCGGAGAAGGTTCATGTTTTGCTAAATAAATTCAATGACTTGTTCAAGGTTGTGTCGATGAAGTTTTTATTTTTAGTGAATCAAACGATGGTCTTTTTTAATGAGCTCGCGATGAATTTTTCCGAAATGGATAACGTTACGATTACGTTCGAGATGACAAACAAGTAACAAAGCTACATTTCTAGAATTTTTAACGCCAGCAGACTATCCTTTACTAATAAACTTTTTTTCGGTTGAGCATTAATTTTATTTGTATCTTCTATCCTTTTTAACTTTTAATGCGATTCAGTATGAGGACTTTCATGAGATTCTTCAGTACCACCATGTTCATGTTCTCTTGCGGAATTCTTTGGATGCTCTTTTTCCCAATCATTTTGAAGATGTCCAACGATGCCTATTACCAAATTTAACGAACATACATAAATGCTATGGCGAATGTGTTATTCTTGTTCACAAAGGTTCAAATTACCATTACCTTTAGGATCGTTGAGAGTCGGCGGATGAACAAGATGTTCTTTATCCTGCCAATGCTCTTCTTTGGTAGGTTCTCTCGATAGGTCTTTAGGGTCGGCGGGAGAATCGTGACGTGGAAGCGCATGAAATACGACCGCTGAGTTTGGTTCGCGGCCTATAAAAAGAATGATGAAAAATCAACATAAGAACTATTACAGAACGGGGGCATTTTATTCATACCGATTGTTTCAACGGTTTTTTGTTTAGACATAATTGATTCCTGTATTGAAAGAAATTTGTGGATAAGGTTATTTTATTGAGTTGAAAAGATTTTTGAGCAAAGAAAATTGTTTCTTGAGAATTCTAAAAATCTGTCACAACCCAAATGTAACGTTGAGATTAGCTCAGTTCTACGTCATGTATTTTTGATAAACATATGTAGTTAGTTGAAATTTGTGATCAAAAAACTTGGTTCCGTTTAAAGTTTAGATAAGTGCTTTGCCGTATTATGCTCAATGGATTTAGCAAAGTTTTATAGAGCATATATACGCATTCAGAGTTAACATGAAACGATGCACGCTATATGTATGCATCTGTAAATTTTTATGACTCATTAGCACTACTATCGCTATTTTTTTAAACTTGAAGCATATTTTTCAGTCACAAATATCTTTATCAAGTTATACAATACATAGCAAATACATGACTATTGAATTTGATATATATATATATATATATATTGTATATATTGGTACTGACTCAGTTTGTATGTTTAAAGAGGATGTCCTTGATATTTGGTGGATTTCCATAAGACTTACCGTTACAGAGCAACAAATTTGTGACGAAACAAAGACATCAATATAAAACAACAGAAAAACATTACTTTACATACTACTGTCTATACTTTAGTAATTAACTATATTATTTATCTTCACCTCTTGCTCCTATTCTATCATAAAGCACGTATTATTCCATTCAATTGATTATATATTATAAAGAATATTATCCGTCAAAGAGAATTATCACCGTTGAATATACGCACATTTCATACGAATGTCTAATTTATTGGGGTGAGTTCCATATAGTTTTGCATTAATTAAATTATATAATGTACAATAGATACTTTCCTGTTCGAAATATTCTAAGAATTTTATTTTGAAAAGTGTTATTGTATTCTAGCAAGTGAAGATTATTATGTTGAACTGCATAAAGTCTGAACCTTATTTTTTTCAAAAGATTAATTATAAGATTAGTGTTCTTTGAAAGCTGGCTAATACATGTAGGATGTGATAGATACATGTAGTTCTATTTACAAAAAATTTTGTATGATCGATATACATGTTCCATCGATTTTTTTGAGTTCGCCGCACTCATGCAGCCACCAAACTTCATTGTTGGTGTAATATCGGCCTTTCAAAGCTTTTAAAGCCTTACGTTCGCTGTTGAATTCGGTCGTATTATATATTGTACTCATTGTTTTTTTATTCTGATCACATCGAATTATAAACACTGTCGCTAATGATGCTTGGCATTTAATAAATGCAATCTATTTTTTTTTTTTTTGACACAGGGACCGAAATTTCTGTGCCTTAAAGAATATGATCAAACTTGTGTTAACAGTAATTTTCGTTGCTTCAAATTAATAATTTTTAGTTGTTGATTGTCAATGCAAAGCTTTAAGAGTTTACGAATTAATATTTAATATAAAGTATTATTAGAGTTTAAATGAGCATTCATTTTGTACATACTCTTAGTTTATGTCTACTATATTTGAAGATAAAAAAGAAAATTTTGATAAAATCAACTAAAAAGATTTTTGTAAAATTTGAAATACTTCATAATCATCAACCGTAAAAAAATCTTGAATGATCATAAAAGAAGAAATTAGAATGATGAGTGGAATTCTGAGTGATAAATTTCACTTTATATTATTTCAAAAT